CTGGATATATATCTGGATAAGAGGGGCTATGGGTTAAGTTTTTGGCTCAGCAGCAAAAAATTTTAATTAAAAAAAATGATAAATGGACACGTGTTTGAATAGTAGAGCACTTGCTGCCTAGCATGAGGGAATCCTCCACTAACTTGAGGCCAACCTAGACTGCAGAGCAAAGATCCTGACTCGGGGACTGGAGAGATGCATCTGCTCAGGGGTTAAGAGCACTGGCTGTTCTTCCAGAGGTCCAGAGTTCAATTCCCAGCAACCACATGGTGGCTCCCAACCATCCGTAATGAGATCTGGTGCCCTCTTCTGGTGTGCAGGCACACATTCAGGAAAAGCACTGTATACATAATAAATAAATCTTTAAAAATAAAAATCCTTACTCAAGAAAAGGGAAAGACGATGGTTATTATTGTGGTTTAAGTGAGAAATGTACCCCACAGGCTCATATGTTTGAATACTCAGTCCCCAGTTGGTAGTGCTGCTTAGGGAGATTGCCCTGATAATTGCTTTTTGTCCTGGCATAGTGTGACACAACAGAAAAGTAACTAACAGTTACTTAGGGAGTACCTGCCTAATAAAGATAGTAGGTCAATAGGGTTGGGCTTTGATGGTTTGTAGCTCTGCCCTGCTTCCCGCTTCCCGCTTCCCACTTCCTGTCTGTTTCCCGTGTGCTGTTGAGATATAATTTCTTAATTTCTTTCTTTCTTTCTTTCTTTTTGTTTTTTTTTTTTTTTTTTTTTTTGAGACAGGGTTTCTCTGTGGCTTTGGAGGCTGTCCTCAAACTCACAGAGATCCGCCTGCCTCTGCCTCCCGAGTGCTGGGATTAAAGCATGTGTCACCAACTCCTGGCAATTTCTTCCTTTCTTGCTCTGGCCACCTGATGCTACTCTGCCTCTCCTGCCATTATGAACTCTTAACGCTCTGAAACAGCTCAAAGAAACTATAAGTTGCTCTTTATTATTTTTTATTTATGTGTATGAAGGTTTTTCCTACATATATATGTATGTGCATTTTATGTATGCCTGGTATGCAGGGAGGCCAGCAGAGGGGGTTGGATCCCATGGAGCTGGACTTTCAGTGGTGTGAGCTGCCATATGAATGCTGGGAACTGAAGTCAAGTCCTGAAAAATCAACTTCTCTTGACCTCTAAACCATCTTTCCAGCACCTGTACTTTGTTCTTGGTCATGATCCCTCCCTCCCTCCCTCCCTCCCTGTAACCCCAGCATTTGGTGACAGCCTTGAGAGTTTGCTGTCCTGCTAGCCTAGCCAAAAAAAAAAAAAAAAAAAAAGAATAGTGAGCTTGTAGTTCACCAAGAGACCCTGTCCCGGGGGAAATACCTAAAGTCTTGCTTGCTCTGGCCTGTTCATGTACCCACACACTCACATGTGTACACCTCATATAATATGACACATGCAAATAAAATTTAAAAACAGTAATTTTAAACATAGGGAGTGCCACTGTGCTTAGCATTAAAAAATAAAAAACATTTGTAGTCTGCACACCCTGATGTCTGTATAATCCGGTACATCACAGAAATTTACTCTCTTCTGGAAGGCCTTTAGCAGAGCTTAAGTTTCTTTGGGAGCTGGTGATGTGCTTTTGGGGAGTGAGAAGCATCTGAGTCTTTGGGGCTGTGGTCAACTAAGCCCATCTTAAGCAAAATCTTGGAAAGGCTAATTTTTTGGTTTGGTTTTGGCAGCACATCTGTATGCTTTTCTATTTCTGTGACTAGATACCTGACAAGAAGCAACTTGGGGGAGGAGAAGTTTATTATTTCAGCTCACAGTTTAAAAAGGAAGGAGACACAGTCACCATGGCTGGGAAAGCATGGTACCAGTCTCTAGATTCCAAAGCAGTGCTGTCACCTGGGGGACCAAGTGTTGAAACACTGAGCTTATGGGGACGTGTCACTTTTTTTTTTTTTTTTTTTTTGGTTTTTCGAGACAGGGTTTCTCTGTATTGTTTTGGAGGCTGTCCTGGAACTCACTCTGTAGACCAGGCTGACCTCGAACTCACAGAGATCCGCCTGCCTCTGCCTCCCAGTGCTGGGATTAAAGGCGTGCGCCACCAACGCCCGGCGGGGACATGTCACTTTTAAAACACAGAATAAGGCCTTATTCTGACTTTTCAAAATTCACTCTTTCTATAAAATGCTCCTGAATTCCATCAGCCCCTGTCCCAATACACAATAATTATTTGGGAAATAGAAACAGGAGAACTGAAGTTAAAGACCACCCTGGGCTACACATAGTGAGACCATCTTTAAAAAGAAAGTTCTTGGTGCTGAGGAGATGGCTCATCTTTTTAGAGTTCTTGTTACTCTTGTAGAAGATCTGGGTTCAAGTCCCAACAACACACATGGTGCCTCATAATCATCCATAACTCAACTTCCAGGGGATTAGACTCCTTCTGGCATACAAGTGCACATATATACATGCAGCCAGTCTCATATATATAAAATAAAATTAATCTTTAAAAAAATAAAAAGCTTGGGGCTTTAGAGATGGTTCCTCAGTTAAAAGCATCCATTGTTCTTTCAGAAGTCCTGAGTTGGTTCCCAGGACACTTGTGAGGCAGCTAACAACTGACTTAAGCCCCAGGGCATATGATGTCCTTTGGTGGCCTTCCCAGACACTTGGTTCATGTACACATACCCATTCACATATATAGATAATCAAACATAAGAAATAAACCTTTAAAATAAACAAAAGCTTTTTAAACTGTTCTATGAATAAATACTCTTTGTTATGCTTGTTGCTCCCAATGTCCATTTTAGGTGGATTGGTATTAAGTCGATTGCTCTTGATTAATAAGAAACAAGGTTTTTAAATTTAAGAGTGTGTGTAGTATGCTCAGGGTCACAGGTTCACTTCCAGAGAGAGTGTATAGTATACTCAGGATCACAGGTTCAGTTCCCAGCACCAAGACAAGAGAAAAGAAACCTAAAGTATGCTCAAAGGGGTTCATGACATTGAGGAAGCTTGGACTTGGAGAGATGGCTCAGCAGTTTAGAGTACTTGTTGCTCTTGCAGAGGATCTGGGAGAAATTAGAAAAAAATAGTATCAGGGTTGCTTCATTGAGTAGCCTTGCAGAATAAAATATCCTGCCAGAAGGGTAATCATGAAGCATGCAAAAACACCCATACTAACATTAAGTTAAAATTCTCATAGGTAGGTATATACAGGACTTTAAGAAAGCCATAAACTGTCATGGCATGGTGGCACACAGCTTTAATCTCATCACTTGGGGAGTCAGAGGCAGGTGGATCTGAGAACAGCCAGGGCTACATAGAGAGACTGTCTTAAATACAAAACTAAAGGCTTCAAAGGCCAGTATGATGACTCAGCAGGTGAAAAGGTGCCTGCCATCAAGCCTAACAACCTGAGTTTAATCTCAAGTCTGCTGTTAGAAAGGAGAGAAATGATTCCTGCAAGTTGTCCTTTGACCTCCATGTGCACTCCCAGGAATGTGTGCAAACACAAAAATACACACTAAGTAAACATAAAACACGCCGGGTAGCCGGGCGTTGGTGGCGCACGCCTTTAATCCCAGCACTCGGGAGGCAGAGGCAGGCGGATCTCTGTGAGTTCGAGACCAGCCTGGTCTACAAGAGTTAGTTCCAGGACAGCCTCCAAAGCCACAGAGAAACCCTGTCTCCAAAAACCACAAAAAAAAAAAAAAAAAAAACACGCCGGGTAGCTATAGGGAATATTACTTAGGTCACTAATCAGAGGAAAGAAAGAAAAGAAGCATTGACTATGTGAAGATAAGATAAATTAGAATAATATACGAAGGATTAAACCGGTAAGTCCCATATCTCTCAGGACAGTGCTAGAACGGTAGTGGTGATGATCTTGCTGCCAAAGGCATCTCCTAAAGTGGTGTAGACTCAGATTAAAACTGAGGTTCTTTTCAATCTGTGCTTCAGAAAAAACAAATGAAAAAGGTAGTAGTGAGTAGTTTCTCCTCCAAATTTGGCACATTTACATGTATTCAGACTATTTCCTGGTTGAGGAGAGATTTCTGTACTAGTTTTACACTGTCTGTTACTGAAGAGCAGGTATTATGTTTTTAAAACCCTTTTGTTTTCCTTAACTGATGCTGGGAACAGAACCCAGAGTTTTGTGCTGCCCTGTGACTGAGCTACACTCACAGCTGGGATTCTGGAAGTGCATTCTCCATGTTGAGCATGTAAACATATGGTAGTGGAACCAGTGAATTTTGCAGTACAGCTTTTATTTTAATGATTAGGCTATAATTCTTGTTGATGATAGAATTTAGAGACCCTTAAAAATTTTGTCAAGCAGAAAAAACAAAACAAACAAACAAAACTCCAAAGCCACAGAGACACAGAGAAACCTTTCTGTCTCAAAAAAACTAAAAAAAAAAAAAAAATTTGTCAAGCAGCTAGGCAGTGGTGGTGCACACCTTTAATCCCAGCACCTGGGAGGCAGAGGCAGGCGGATCTCTATGAGTTCAAAGCCAGCCTGGTCTGGCCTCTTGTGAGTTTGAGGTGCGCACCACCAATGCCCAGCCAGAACTTACTTAAAAGTTAAATAGCCGGGCGGTGGTGGCGCATGCCTTTAATCCCAGCACTTGGGAGGCAGAGGCAGGCAGATCTCTGTGAGTTCGAGGCTAGGCTGGACTAACAGCCTCCAAAATAATACAGAGAAACCCTGTCTCGTAAAAAACCAAAAAAAAAAAAAAAGTTAAATAAATTCAGATAAGTTATCTGAAAACAAAACCTTCAAAATACATTGTGGATGATGGTACATGTGTCCATGTACACACATGACACAACGTATATTTAGGATATTGTTATAGACTATAGAAAGTACATCCAGAATATACAGTGACAAAACATTCTTAATTATTGAGAATACAATGAAGGAACAGTTTATTATAGAGGAGGGTGGTTAATAGATTTTTTTGACAGATACCATTATAGAATCAGATAAGATTTTTCTTCAGAATAATTGTGTTTCTCTCTTAAGGTATCCAAGCCCACCAATGAGTTCTGTCTCAGCACCCAACTTGTCTGCAGCAGAAGAAAATGTGGAATATGTACGGACTCTGTATGATTTCCCTGGGAATGATGCTGAAGACCTGCCCTTTAAGAAGGGGGAGATTCTGGTAATAATAGAGAAGCCCGAAGAACAGTGGTGGAGTGCCCGGAACAAGGATGGCCGGGTTGGGATGATTCCTGTCCCTTATGTTGAAAAGCTTGTGAGGTCTTCGCCACATGGAAAGCATGGAAATAGGAATTCTAATAGTTATGGCATCCCAGAACCTGCTCACGCATATGCTCAACCTCAGACCACAACTCCTCTACCTACAGTTGCTAGTACTCCTGGGGCAGCAATCAACCCTTTGCCATCCACACAGAATGGACCTGTCTTTGCAAAAGCAATCCAGAAGAGAGTACCTTGTGCTTATGACAAGACTGCCTTGGCATTGGAGGTAAAAATCTATCAAGACTGGCCTTTGAACATGGGTTTTCATTTTTAATTTTAAGTTAGCCATCCATTTAAAGTTACTTGTGTTCTTGGGAATTAGACTGGGGATTTCAAAGGATGCACTATTAATGTCTTGTCCTTTCCTAGTCATCTTTTCAGTCCAGGTTCCCAGCCTGCTTGCTCTCTTTTTCTGCTCCCAAAGCCTCATAGGTAGTTGGTTTTCTTTCCAGCAGGGAAAATGATAATTAGAAAGACCCATTACCTATGAGCAAAATTAGCATTCAGAGATAACAGTGCTACTAGTATAAGTCCATATCTCCAACTTTGTAATTAACAATATAAATAAAATGTCTTAAAATTTAACTAGGCAGAGAAATGAGTTTAACATATATCGGCCCTTGCTTGTTACAGATTTTGTAAATCATAATAGTATAAAATAGAGCTTGAACATTGTCAGTGTCGTTTTGTTTTTGTTTGGGGGGATCATCAAAGTCTGTTACATCATTTGGGGCAGGGTCTAGGCTGAGAGAGTATCCCTATATGGGGAATGGGCTCCCAATGTCCATTCATACACTAGGGGTAAATACTGTTCCACTACCGGAGGCTCCATAGACTGCCCAGGTCTCCTAACTGACACTCACGTTCAGGGGGTCTGGTTTTGTCCAATGCTGGTTTCTGAGCTATCAATCTGGGGTCCATGAGCTCCCCCTTGTTCAGGTCAGCTGTTTCTGTGGGTTTCCCCAGCCTGGTCTTGACCCCTTTGCTCATTATTCCTCCCTCTCTGCAACTGGGTTCCAGGAATTCAGCTCAGTGCTTAGCTGTGGGTCTCTGCTTCTGCTTTCATCAGCTACTGGATGAAGGCTCTAGGATGGCATATAAGGTGGTCATCAACCTCATTATAGAAGGGCATTTAGGATAGCCTCTTCACTATTGCTTAGAATCTTCTTTGGGGTCATCCATGTATATCTCTGGACATTTCCCTAGTGTCAGTTTTCTCTTTAAACCTATAATGATTCCCTCTATTAAGGTATCTCTTCCCAGGCGTTGGTGGCACATACCTTTAATCCCAGCACTTGGGAGGCAGGGGTAGGCAGATGTCTGTGAGTTCGAAGACAGCCTGGTCTACAGAACAAGCTCCAGGACAGGCTCCAAAGCAATAAAGAGAAATCCTGTCTTGAAAAACCAAAACAAAAAAAGCTATCTGTTTTCCTGCTTTCCTCTATTCTTCCCTCGACTCAGTCTTCCTGGTCCCTCTTGTCTTCCTCCCCCCCTTCTCTTTCTCCCAACACCCCCCCACACCCCCCCCACACACCCCGTGCTCCCGATTTGCTCAGGAGCTCTTGTCCTTTTCCCCTTCTCCAAGGGACTATATGTGTCTCTCTTTCCTTGTTTCCTAGCTTCTCTGGAGGTGTGGGTTTTAGGCTGATCCTTTGCTCTATGTTCTGCCTCCTCTGTGCTGGAATACCCAGTTTTTTCATGTGGGTTCTGGAAATTAAACTCAGACCCTCATGCTTGCAAGACAACAAATAAGTGCTTTACCAGGTGAGATATTGTTCAGCCCTGGCTAGCCTGGAATTATGTAGACCAGGCTATCCTCAAATGTTAGACAGTCCTCCTGACTCTGAGCACTAATCCCATGGTGGGCCTAGGGAAGAAAGAATGAGTAGTAGGCAAATCTGAAAAATAAAGTATGTTTTAGAATGTATTTTTGTTTTGGTTTTGTTCTTTTTTTTTAACTGAGATGTAAAGTATATACAGTGAGAGGTAATTTCTGAGTATTATTTGATAATGTGGAATTGTGTATCACAAACCTCCACTCTTTTACTCTGTCTTCTGTAAAATGCAAATAACTCCGTTAACCTCAATACATTGTTGTGAAACCAAATGACAGGGTATTTGTGAAGATGCTTTAAACCGCAAATTGCTATGTAACTATCACTATGATTATAGTTGGACATGCTTACCTAGTATTATTGTATGTGTTAGAAAAATTAAGATTAAGTTAGTTGACTGTTTTTGTTTATTTACCCAGAGGTGGGAACAGGAGAAAGTTGAGAGAAAGCCTAGGTGTCCTACAGGAAAATGAAGTAATGGAATGAAATGATTGCTATTAAAACAGAGCAACCCACAGTGCCTGTAGTTGAGGCTGACCTTCGGTTCTTTGTCATTGTTCTTGTTGTTTTCAAGACGGTTTCTTGTGTAGCCCTGGCTGTCCTGGAACTGGCTGTGCAGACCAGGCTGGCCTTGAACTCGAAGTTATCCACCTGCCTCTTCCTCTTGGGTGCTGGGATTAAAGGCATGCACCACTACTGCCTGAGGTACACTGCCTTTAGTTCTTGTTTCTCCTGCATCTGTATATACATAGCACATACAGCATGAATACAGATAAAAATTAGCTATAGGGTTATTAGCAAGATGTTTAGCACTCAAAAACGCATATTGGTCTTGTAGGGCCTGGAATTAAGTTCTCAGCATCCATGTTGGTCATCCACAGTGGTTTGTAGTTTCAGCTCCAGGGAATCCAGTGCTTCTGGCTTCTTCAGGCATCTTCACACTCACCCATAAGTAAAATAAATGTATCTTTAAAATTAACCATGATTCGTATATATGTAACTTTCTGCTAATTATTCCTGGGCCAATTAACTTTGAACCAGGAATAATATCTGAATGAGTTACACTTGAAAATTGGTTTTAGGGCCAGTGACTATGCATCTCTTCTTTTGACTTAAAAGAAGAGTGAGTACCTGCAATTTACATCAGGGCTTGAGGAGGGGTCCAGTTGTGTTAGAGCAGGAAAGAAACCAGAGTAAGGGGCAGGCACTTGCCTACAGTCCCAGGCTGGCCTGGAACTCAGAGATCCGCCTGTTTCTGCCTCCTGAGTGCTGGGATTAAAGGCATGCTCCATCAATGCCCAGCTATCAAGTATGCTCTTGTTCTCCCATCTCTCTTTCTCTCTCTTTCTCTCTTTCTCTCTCTCTTTCTCTCCCTCTACCCCTCTCCCTTTCCCTCTCCCTTCCTCCCCCCTCCCTCCCTCCTCTGTATCTCTCTCCTCTGTGTCTGTCTTTGTGTCTGTGTCTCTCTCTTTGTCTATCTGACACACACACACAGAGGCACACCTCTTATTTAGCGATGGGATCTCCTTACGTACCTCTGGTTGTCCTAAAACTTGCTACATAGATCATGCCAGACTCAAAGATATCCACCTCCCTTTGCTGCCCAAGTGTTAAGATTAAAGGCATGTGCTATCACACTTGGCTCTGTTATTTTAATATTTTAGTATTTTATGTGTATGGTATTTTTGCCCACACATCTCCTTTATGTAAAAGAGAAGCTTTTTCCTTGAGAGAATGCCTTCCCGCCAGCCTGGTTCTAGAGCCGTATCAGTCCCAAATAAACACACAGGAGGCTATATTAATTATGAAGCTGTTGGCCTTGCTTGTTTCTTACTGGCTAGCTCTGACTTAAGTAATTACCCCATAATTGTTAATCTAAGTATTTCTCTTACCGGAGAATAGTTCCGGGCTTCCTACCCCATGGCGGTTACATGTCGACTTCCTGTGTTTCTCCTTCCCAGAATCCTCCTGGACTCCTAGTCCCTCCTAACTAGATTCCTATGGGCTCAACAGTGCTTTATTGACAAAAGACTTCCCCAACACCTTTATGTATGTCTTTACATATGTACATGCAGTGCCCTCAGAAACCAGAAGAAGGTGTTGGATCCCTTGGAACTAGAGTTACAGGTGATTGTAAGCCACCATGTGAGTGCTAAGAACTAAACCCAAGTCCCCTAAAAGAGCAGCCAATGCTCTTAACTGCTGAGCCATCTTTCCATCTTCCATTCCCCCATCTTGACTGGTCCACACCTCACCCATGGATACTTTGGGCTGTTAATACCTTCCACCGTGATTCTGGGTATATAGCACATACTTGCAATTCCAGTACTAGAGAGACAGAGGCAGGATTAGGAGCCAGGCTGGACAATAGGAGACCCTAACTCAGAGAAACAAAGCAAAATGAAATACCATCCTGTTTACATTGCCTTTTGAGATAGTTGTCATCTCAGAATAGGACTCAGAATACATCAGGGTGAAAACTTTCATGCACTTTGTTGAAGTCTGATTCTGTTTTCTTTGTTTTTTCTAGATAGGATTTCACTATGCATCCCAGGCTGACCTCAAACTCTGCTGCCTGTCCTTCTGCCTCAGCATCCTTGAGAGCTAAGATTATGAGAATATACTAACCATGCCTGACTTTGACTCTAAGAGACTGAGATGGTGTTTGTTGTATGGGTACATTCCTTGGCATGTGCAGAGTAGGGTTAGAGGTGTTATAGAGGGATAACCTAGAGGTTTGTGAGTACGAGAGCTAGGCTTAATGATGTACATTTTAAGATAACACCCATACTTGACCTCTCAAACCCCATTTCTCATGATGCTGACCCAGCTGTCACCAAACCTTCATGATCACAGGCTTTATGTGGTGCTTCACTGGAAGAATGTGATAGTGGAACCCTAGAAGTTCTTTACTGCCCCTGAGGTGTTCCCTGTAAACTGTTGGCCGTGACATAAGAAAGTAATGTTTCTCTGCCTTTGCTGTCTTCTAAAACTATTCGGATAGTAATGCCTGTTTGATCTTGGGGAAAAAAAAAACAGTTCTCTTGGGACTGTTGCAATTAGGTTATTAGTGAAAGTATTAAAATTAAGTTGAGGAAAAGTAGGGCAAAATGTGCCAGTCATTGGAACTTCCTCATTTTAGGTAGTATCAAGGAGAAGAGTGATGGAGTTGGTGACTTTGTGTTGTTTTGTTTTTCCCTGTAAAAGTAATATTTGAGGGTGGTAATGTAGATCAGCTCTCAGTTAGATTTCCCACACTGCAAAGTTTGAATAAGTAAGTTGACTTTGAAAGGTTCCCTGCAAATAGAGCTATTTTCCTCTTGCTTCTCAAGAAGTGATTTGTGACGTGTAAAAAATGTATAGATGTGTGTCCTTGCTCCTTGACAACAGA